CGGGGCGGTGTTAGAGGCGGACGGGTAAATTGTGCAATACTTTTTAGTGATTCTGATCGCAACTTGACATCGTTTAATATAATATTATTTTTTGCTAATAGGATCAATTTAACTGTAAGATTAATTTTGCCAATATATGTGGTGATTTCAATAGAAAACGGGCAAATTTTTTCTAAATAATTTTTTTATTATTTTGATTCTATGTAGTTATAGAATCGAAGAAATTAAATTTGATTTAATAATTGTTGAGATTTTTTAAAAAAAATTTACTAAAATCAATTTGCCTGCTTTCTATTGACATCACCCATATTTGTATTTTTGGACGTATTCTTAACATACGGACAGAATTTTTTAACTGATTTACTTCTGGCTCAATTTTGGCAAATTTTGGACCAGAAATAGATCAATTATGTACAAAATTTGGCTCGTAACTAATTATATTATTAAATTATAGGGGAGTAAGTCATTGTTGCTTGTCGATTTTTTTAAGCGTATTATATTTCTGGGAAAATATGAAGCCAAGATTTTTTGTTTAATTATTCAGGGATGTTAAAACTGACAAGCATAGAGAAAACTATTTAGGACATTCACTTTTTGCACCAGTAGGAAGGTAAAAAAAATACTATTTAAATAAATCTTTACGAATTTAATATGTGTTTACATTTTCTTTATTTTATCATTTAGGTGGCAAAAAGGTAACTATCGCAAATCCAAAACAAATATTAATTTAAGATATGAACTAATGTTTATTATTTTTAGGCAAGGATCTCACTTGGTATTCCAAGGATGGAAAGGGCGATCAAGCATATATTGATGAATTAAAAGCAATTAAAGATTCTGAAGCAGATGTTATGGCTGAATTCCTGTAACGAGCAAAATTTTTAAATGCTAAATTTGGTATTATTTATATATTCAAATTAATACAAAAATAAACTCTTTTATTTGCAATTTGTTAGAGGAGCCAATAAAAAGAAAAAGGTTACGGAAAAAGTTACTCAACAAGAATTAAATAACGTCTTGAAAAGAGAACAAGATGATGATGACGACGATGAAATTCTCAAAGAGGCAGACAAAGATGCCACAAAAGGATTAGGATATAGGAGGTGTGAGATTAAGTTATTTTATATAATTCTGAATGATGTATCTTAATTTATATTTGTGTTCTTAATATTTAAGTTCCGGACGATCATATATCGGAGAAATGATACCAGACGATTCTGAGACGATCGAGAACGAAGGCATTCTGAAAAATTCTGAACGAATATCACAAAATGATAGAGATTATTCTATGAGTACTTCTGCAGTAAAATCCGATAACCTCACCAGTAAACAATCGGTTTCTAAAAAGCAGAAAAAGGAAAAAAAGAAAAGAAAAAACCACAAAAGGGATTCTAGGTCCCCTTCCCCTGTTCGAAGGCGATCCCCTGTTCGAAGACGATCCCCTTCCCCTGTTCGAAAACGATCTCGATCATCCGTGTCAGATCGTAAGGACCGTTATTCCTCACGTCACTATTATGACGATGTTGAACGTAGACGTAAACATAGCCATAGCCATAGCCATAGCCACAGCCACAAAAGTTCTAGACGTAATCATTCCTCGGATGATGATAGAAAATATTAATGATTGGATTTTTTTAAATTTTAACTATTCATTACCTATTAAATTGAAAATCTTGAAGATTACTGTAACAAGTATTAAAAATACGTTTTTAATTTACTACATTAATTTCCTACAATCAGAGAAAGTTGCACTTATTGGAGAACAAAAATTTTGAGGTCTTAATAATTTGGAACAAAGAGCTTGTATGTAAAAAGGTAGTACATTCAAGGTGATTGCATTTGGAGATTGATGATTTGTAACATGAAATTCGCATATTGCTTTAAGCTGTTTATATAAGTAATATGATCGAAAATCTGTGTGAAAAAGTAAAGTTATTGGTGGTAAGTTAATTATAATTAAGTTAATTATTGATTTTATTTATTTATTTATTTATTTATTTTTTTGTTTTTAATCTAACATAATTATCCTGTTGAAAAGTTAAATTTTTACTACCAATTTTAGTATGTTTAAAACAATTTAAAAAATTAACTATAAAGCTTAGCAGCAAATTTACTTGCTTTAATGTTATAAATTTATTTTTAATTTACTTTTTAATTTACTTTTTAAAATAAAATTTTATTGTTCGTAGTCGATATAAATTTATCGACTCAACTACTAAGTCGATTAAGTCAAATCATTGTGTATTATCACAAATTCTCCAGTATTCCTATGCAAATGAAGTTGAATAGTAAATATTCTATATAGCTTATCTTATATATACTTGGATTAATAAATGTTCAAGATAAATTAGTACGTACGAATAAAATGAATTTAAAATGGTAGCATATAAAAATAATTTTGATTTTTATTTGCATAAAAACAGAAAATGCAATTTATTGATTTTCTCATAAACTTATCGACTTGACACATATATTTAGTATTTGTTCTGTAACGGTAATATATTCCTATATTATAATCAAGCCTACCGAATAATTGATTGTAAGGGCAATTAATTGCAATTTTTCAAGCTCAATTAATTAATTGGTGGCGC